AAATATTAGATATGCTATATGCAGGATTCTGACCATGTATGTGCAATTTTAACCCCATTTTTATTTCAAAACCCCCACAATAAAGTAAATACCAGAATCTGCACCAGATTCTTGAGTCTTTTTATTTTATTTAGATTCAAAGCAAGAAGAGACAAAATACAGTGACCTGCTACTTAGTTTGCAGTTAAAGGTATTCATGGCACAGAAGGTGAAAAAGTAAAATGGACCTAGAAATGAGTCAGGCTTGCTGCTGTCCTTTGTCTTGTTCAGGCTCCACTGATCTGTCATCCCACGCATAGGACCTGACCAAGAGAAAGAGCCGGACAGACAGAGGCAAAGAAAATTGGCAAATGGAGAAAGGACAGTGGGGACCGAGAGTCAAAGAGAGAAGCAAAATGAACAGACGACGAGGAGCAGGAAGAAATAAAGCAGCGGGACAGAACATAAACAAACAAACGGGCAGAACAAATGTCAACCAATGCAAATAAAATCAGCATCTAACTCTACCTGCATTTTATTTTGGTGCATGGAGTAACAAAAACTGAAAACAAAGATATATATGCAACAAAAAATGTACAAAAGCCTGAAACACCACACAGTAATGGTTTTTGACAGGATACTTTGAAAATGGATGTTTTTTTCCTCACTGTTTCCTTTGTCCATGATTCCTGTGCAATTAATGCATGATAATAAACTTACTTTATAATCCCCACACCAGAGAAGATTGCAAAATGCAAATTTGCTCAGTAAAGTGGCTGCAGGTTAACCAACTAGAGATTTCAGCTTTTCTTTCAAAGGAAAAACATTCCTCTTTGCATTTTAACAAGCAACAAATCCTGAATGAGGTACAGTAACCTCAACTTATGGTATAAATCGGTAACTTTGGTACATAGGTCAACTGCTGAAGTCTTCTGTTAGCTTCAAACTTTTTAACGCCTACATTTTATATTTAATTCACATATGGTAGAGCAGGTCATCTACTAATTGGTAGACTGATGGTTTGATCTCTGGCTGCTTCAGTCAGCATGCCAAATATCCTTGGGCAAGATATTAACCACAAAGTTGCTCTCTGCTGTATCCATCGGAGTGTGAGGGTGTGTGGATGTTAGATAAAAAGCAGTTACATAAAAAAAGCACAGAAAAAAGTGCTTGTGTGAATGGATGTGAAGGGGTGAATGATGCAATGTGATTAGTGAGAGCTTGATTTGTCAATCACACGCCATTAGCCAATGAGCATACCCTGCATAAACCTCCTTTCTGACAATTTGAATGACCAGATTTTAGAAAATGCCCTGGATGACTGAGCCCAAAATTAATCACCAGTGTTTACAGAGGTTTTTCTCCTGTGACTGTAGGAGGCAAGGTGATAAAATTATCTACTACATGACTTTCAGTCCATTCACCCTCACCAGACAGGTAGTCAGAGCTGAAGGCAGGCTGTCCTGGTGGGTCTTGACGTCCTCCTGATGACATCATTGATGACATCATCCCTGGACCTGAGGAAATAAAGAGCATTATCACTGTCATC